ACACGGACACGGACACGGACACGGACGCAGAGGCGGACACGGCAGCGCCGCCCGCCCGCCGCCAGGGGGCAGTGCCGCCGCGGGCCGGCCGCGCGCTGCCCTCACGGCGCCTCGTCAGGCAGCGCGGGGCGGGGCGGGGATGATGGCGGCCCCGCGGCTGGGGCACCCGCCGGCCGGGGGGAAACCGCTTTCATCTTGCTGCACTGCTCCATTGCGGTTTTCTCCACTAAGACGAGCAGCAAAGAGTGAGTGGGGTTGAGGTCCAAGAGAGAAGATCAGATCACTTGAAAAGGAGGGGCGAGAGAGAGGGCAAATAAACAACTTCACAGCTTTTCCTGATTTTTCAAGTAGAAAGGGGAGTATCTGTAAGATAGGCGAGGCTCTGGCGCACCAGCACAGGCGGTAGCAGGTTTCAGGACTAGAACAGCCATCAGTAAATTCCAGCACAGCGAGCTCTGTTTTCCTTTGATTAAGACATCCAGTGCAAAGGGCCAACCACCAGTCAATTTTAGGGAAAAAAAACAAAAAAAAACAAAAAAAACACAGAAACAAAAAAAGAATTGAAGCAATCAATTTCTTTTGATGATAAGGGTGAGATGGCACAAATGTCGTCCAGGCTGCTGAGCATCTCAGTATTGCCCGTGTTATGCTCACAGGTCAAACGCAGTGTGAAGTCAGTGAGAATATCCAACTGCCAGGGCATCTGGGCTGTGTCAGAGAGACTTGCTGCTCTCTGCTTTCTTAGAGCTAAAAGAAAATTCAGTAAGTTGTGAAGCTGAATGCTTCATCCTCCTCCCTCACAAGCTTGAGGAGGTGACAGCTGTTTCCTCCGGGCCTGTTATTTTAGACACCTCCATGATTTATATATCTCTGCAAGCCTGGTGGGTGGAATTGCATGTCACAGACGAGCTGAAAATAACTTGTATATGCTCGTATACAGACTCTGATAGCTATTGGCCCATGTAGAAAAACTCCAAACTGAATCACATGATCTGTGGCTGGCAGATGCATTAAGATGTACTGATGGAGCAATGGTGGGTTAAAGTGAAGTTGAAATCTTCAGTGAAGAGCACTGGCAAGGACTCTGCGGTAATATCGTGCACAGCAGAACCACCATGGCTTAGCCCTCGTGATTGTTTTGCTAAGATAGGCAGTCACATGTAGAGGAAAAATTTCATATTTAGAACAATGTGCAATTCGCTGTGGGATCATACAACTGGACAGACTGCCTTTGGCCTCTGCATGAGAGGTTCAGAAGATACCTGGAAAGGTGGTTGCAGAACTCCATTTGGATGTGTGGGTCCTTCTCACTAGAAGCAGTACTTGTGGAAATTCTGCTGTGGGACTTTGGAGTGTCAAGCTGTTAACACCTGGTCAAGTATTTTGAGATAGCCTGGTGGAAGAGGCAGACAAATAAACATGCTACATCCATGCATGCCCGGCATTCCAAAAATCTGTTAGGTGGCACTGTGTATGGCACACAGGCATGTGCTGGGCTGAAAGCCCAGTGTCAAGGCTAAGATGTAAGAGAATGTTCTCAGGTGAACTTCTCAAAAGCGGAGGTTTCTGCTTCCCTCCGTGTGTAGAGCCCAGGGAGTTTCACCCAGCTGCTTATTAACTTTTCCCCTGAGTGCTGCCTGGCTTCCTTTAGGTACAGCTCAGAACCAGCATTCTCTGGGAGACGATAATATTTTCCAAGGCTGGGCCATTCATCCATGCCAGCCTCTAGAGAATATGGAGAAGCTGTGCAGAAAAGGGCCTGGGCACACTGTCCACACCCTGTAACCCGCAGTAGACATTCACATCCTGCCAAGGTAAACTGTGTGAGCCTGATTCACAGCCAGGTCTGCAGCAAAAGCAGTGAGTGAAGAGTGGCAGAACTTTAACTCCTTGGGAGGGGCTGGAGGCAGAACTCACAGCAGACAACCCAAATTATTGGCGGGACCATGTATCTCACAGGGTTTCCTGCCAGAGTTTCTGCTGTACCACATGTCATCTCTGCACTTAAAGCCTAATTTGTTTTGGGAGTTTTGTTGTTGGGTTTGGTTTTTTTTTCCCCTCAAACATTACCTTCAGGCATTTGTTTCCACTTACCTGAGTGCTTCCCAAACATGGGCTTAAACTTAGTCTTGTCTAGTCCCCTTTGATCACCAATATGTGATGACTTAGATCTGGAGCCTAACCCAGTGCTTTCACTTAGAAATTGTTCAACCTACTTATTTAATTCCTCAGAGATTATCTGGATTCAGCATGTGTTCCTTTCCCTTTTGTCAAGGCCTCATGACTTCCACTTTTCCCTTGCATCTTCCAACTTCCCTGTCCCCATGATTGTTTGCTATTCCTTTTCCTTCTTTTGAGTCTCTCTGCCACAAAGTGTCCCACAAAGTGATACTTTCAGATATATGATGGAGGTGACAGGGATGTTAATTCTGCTCTCAGAGGTACCTTTAGAAAAAACGTATTCTTTAAACACCCACAAGACAAAAGGGATTAATTTTTAAGCTGACTGAGTAAATAATTTTTCCACAGTCAAAATGTCTGTGATGATAATGCTGCTGTGCCCTGAGGGAATTAAATCAAATATCACTTTCCTGCTCACAAATACCTCAGTCCAGCGATGTCCCATGTTGTATCCCAGTCTGAGACTCATGGTCCCACTCTTGCAGGAGGAAAATGCTTGTATCTTTGGAAAATTTGGGTGAAATTTTAAGTGACACAGCAGGAGTAGAACCCAAGGTCTTCTGCTGGTTTACTCTTACCCAACACAATTTAGACCCCTCTGTCCAAAACTTTGGATGATGTCAGTGGGATAAATGGTACAAAATTGCCATTTTGTCTGGGAAGATGTTAGACCTGTTTGCTCTTGCAATGTCTTGATGTGTGTGTGGCTGTATGGACATGTGGCAACAGCTCCTCTAATCTTCACCCTATGACTGTAGTGGAAAAAATAACACAGAAATGTAATGTAATTGTTTTTTAAAAACTATATTGTGTTTTTGTTGGTTTTTGGTTTTTATAAACACCTCCCAGTTCTCCTATACTAGTTGCAGTCCAGGAAACTTTGTGTTTATTAAGCACTGTGTAAATTTGCAGCTCTCTATAAATGTAAAATCAATAGCAGTGATAACAGCAGCAAAGTGCTCAGTCCAGCCCTGGTAATAACCCAAGAGTGCTAATTTCTTTGTAAGGTCACTTGCTTCACACAGGCACCTCCTCTCCATGTGAAAACAGAGGGTACAGCACAGAAAATATTCGTGTTCCCTGACAAGACAGGAGACACTGAAAACATGTACTTTCCAGCAGATGACAATGGTGGACAACAACCTGAAGGACTCTTACAATCTATTGTAGAGACCTTCATCTCTCCACTGAGTGCTGCAAATATGTTCTCTTTTAGGAAATCAAAATCTTAGCAAACACCTGGTATCCTTTTTAATCTCTTCTCATAAGCAGATGAGAAAGGGGAATCTCCAGTAACCTAATGGAGTGAGCAAAATTTTATTTCTGGAGGATGAGCAGAGTGACAAGACAAAGGCTTGTGTGGCTGACCCCTGTGAACTGTGGTCTCCATCATGGTGATGCCACCACCTTATGGGCAGTTCCTGGGGTTCACTGAGTGTGTGTAGGGACCACACTCCCACCTCTTCCAAGGTGTCCCAGTGCTCTAATGGTAGCTCTGCCTGTTCAGGTTACCTCACTTCTGTCCAAACAGACAGGTGGAAAAGCTTTGGGCTTTTCACAGCTGGAACTGTACCACCAGTGGCAATAGTTAAGTATTTACTATGGAAAAATTGTATATTGTATACTGCCAATGTCTGGTTGTCCCCTCTACCTTTTACTGTGGTGATTCTCTCAATGGTGGAACTGCTTCAGACAGCACTGGTTGGCTCCATGCAGTCTGCTCTGCTTCCCTTTCAGGTCCCCTTTAAACCTGGTTTAGGGTTCCCAGGTGGCTTACAGCCATTCATCTGGCCTCTGTCATGACCTCCCCAGGGAGAACCTCTACAGGTTCTCCTTGTAGACCTGAGAACTCTCCTCCCTGCCTAGCACTGTCAGTGAAGCTGGTGTTATTTTGTTCTGTGGTGAGTCCACAGTCACCTTTGGGCTTTTTCTTTGCCATACTGCTGCAGTAAATCCAATCCATCTGCACATCAGTACCCTTCTGTTTTCTTCTTCTTCCCTGACCTCTGCCTGCTAACACATCCCTAGGTCCAGTGACCTTAGGTACAGGAAGAATCCTCCTTAAACCCGTGTTCCAAAGGTGGCAACTCCTGCTATTAAAAAATAATCATACAGAAGAGGGCTGGCACGGACTCCGGGAGATCTCTGAAGCTCTCCAAGGTGGAGTCACCCAGGAGTAGAGCGTGACGTGGGCATTAAATGCTTCCAACAACTGGGATGCCGCAGCCTCCCCAGCAGCCCCCTGCAGCCCAGGAGACCGTCCTGGAGAAAAAGCATTTTCTCGAGCATAGCACAAATCCTTCTTCCTGCAAATAAGGTTGATGATTACTTGTCCTTCTTCTGGTGAATCTGGAGTAGAACTGATCGCTGTCTGCTTTATAGAACCTTTTATATAATAACAAAGCAGCTTTTAGAGTAACTGAGAAAGAGGCGTTTGCTCACTTGCAAAGTCAGGAAATTCCCTGCCAATGGACATTCTTTGTCGGGGATCCTTTGCCAGCATAGGCTGAGCACTAAGCCCCACAATCTGCATTTTCCTTTTGAATGACTCCCACAAAATAAACCAAATATCACATCCAAGGAGATTTATTATATCCCTTCCGAGGGCGAAGCATTCCTCAGCTACATTCCACTTCTGTCTTTTGTGCTTAGGAAAGGGGAAAAAAATCGCTGTGATGCCTCTGGATCCCACCCCTCCAGGGCTTCTGTCGTTAATAAAGTCGAGCAGCTGGAGCCAGATTTGTCAGACTAGTCCTGAATGGCTGGCTCACTCCTGCTGCAAGAGCAGCACCATCAGAGCAGTGCTAGGATTCCTGCTTCTGCTGGAAGACTAATAAATCGTGGCACCACGTTTCCTCAGTAAAACCACCTTTTGTTGTTCCCAGTGACACCCAATCCCCGTGCAGCAGCTTGCCAGAGTGGATCTTCTCGCTTCCTAGCTGCTTTGCCTTCTCCTGCCTCTGCATGATGCAAGAGTTTGCAATGCTTTTTGGGAGCTCAGATGTGCTCTCAGAGACTCTGCTTGAAGCAATTGCTCTCTCCAGGCTTTGCAGTGAAGCTTTTATCCAGAAGGGAGGGCAAGGTAGTGAAACCTCTGTTGTGTTATCTGAGCTTAATTAAGTTTCTCCCCTAGGCAGTTGCTAATTGATTGACCCCAGGACTGTAAAAGGGAGCAAATTTACCGGAGCTCATTAAAAGAGTAGAATGTGAAATTTGAATTTTTTTATTTTATAGATGAATACCTTTGACTGACGTCTTGCTGACTGATATTCATGAAACAAACTGTTCAGCAAATGTAGGTAGGTGGATTTGTCTTTTTAAACCCAAATGAGAGAAGTGGTGAATACACAGATGCCTGTTAATCCTCACTGTGTCCCTTGCCAGCATTTATAGGTATCACTTAACTGGAGCTCTGATACTGCTTTCTGCCCCAGCCAAGGCTATGCTAACCAGCTTGTTGTCCATTCCAGCAAAGTATCAAGTACATTTCAATTTCACAAGCTTCAAAAGCTTTTCACAAAATTGACAAAAACCCCCTCCCCAAACCAAAAATCTGTTCACCCGCCATAAAATGCAGTCACTGCAGGTGTCAGTGAAGCCAGCTGTGCAACAGGACAGGCCAACACCCAGGTGCAATGGTGTAGTAAGTGGAGAAGGGGAAAAGATGCTGTGTCCAAGGGGAGCTGCAGGAAGAACAAAGTGAAGAGGATTGTCTTTTCCCAAACAGCTGGAACATGGACTATACCAAACATTCAAAGATCCATTCCAGTCTGATGGTGTTCACGTCTATCCTACACAATCAAACTCCCATGCGAGTGGGAGTCACCCGAGTGACAGTTGCCCTCTTCTCAAATACATCAGGACACCTCTCCAAGTACTACTCTTGACCTTTTGTTTGACACAAAGGGAGCTCATCCTGTCAGGACTGAGACATAGCCAGTGCACAGAAAAGGCTACAGAAAAAAAGGTATGCAGAACAGTGTGGAATAGATCTGCACGCCTGAAGATGTGAAGGATGAAGGAGACCATTAGGAGCACAATGGAAGAGCAGCCACTGCCCAGGTGACAGGCAACTGTTAGAAGGCCGACTTTCACAACCAGCTCAGCAAAAGCTCCTTTTATCACTTGGAGCCAATTCACTGCTGCTCCCTTCAGCCTTAAAACCATTTCAGATGGGTTTTAAAGCTATTTATAGTGTGGAGGGGAGAGTCCTATTGTGTAGCAAACTCAAAAAGTAGTGTGCACACCCTGCATGTGAGAAGTTGCAGCATATTTGAAGTTTCTCCTGTCAGCCTGTGAGTTACTTCCCCTTTTTTTCCTTCCAAGGACCGACTGGTGTCCTGTTCCCTCCAGCTCGTCATCCTCAAAGAAGATGCTCATCTCTTTTGAAGAGATTTCATGCATTGTATGAAGGCTTTCAAAAATTTGATGGAACTATGAACTGAACAGCAACATGGACAAATGACACGTGTCCTACATGGTTTTCGCTGTGAACACATTGTTACAGTTATGATTGCCTACCCATGTCCTAGGCTTGTTTGCCTCTAGGCCCTTCAGAGCCCTTCTGAGTTGCTTTTCTGTCTCTTCTGTTTGTAAAATGTTTAACATATGTGAGCACTTAGAGGAAAGTTCCAAGTTTCGTGCCGTATTTGAAAGCTGTTGACTTGTTTGGTCTCTGGTTTAGGTAGTGGTTCCCAAGAATAAGTCCTGCATTGTGAGGAAGAGGGACTGTTACTGTCTCTGTAGTGAAATTACATTTGTTGACAGGAAGAACTGACCTTCCAGGAGAAGATGTTACTGAGGAAAGAGAGGGAGCCAAGTGTCTTCTCCTTGGAGCATATGGACTTCCCCCTGCTGAGCACACTTGTCTCCCCTACTGATTGCTCTGTCTGCTTCTTTCTCTTTCTTCTTTTCCTCTCTCTCCAACCACACCCACTATTTAACCATTTAGATATAAAAATAAAAAATAAGAAAACCACCCAACCCACTAGACAGAGGGTTTGCTAAAGAAGGGTAATTTTAAAAGCAAGTCTTTGAGGTCAGTGTGTAATTGTACCATTGGGACTATGTGATCTGAGACAAAAATAATCCACTGGTATCTGGTCAAGGAGAGGATGGCAGCCTGCAGTGAGGGAAGAGTGACTTACATGGGATTGACCAGGCAGCAAAAGGCCAGGCAAAACTACTTGCTGGCACCAGAATTAATATTTGTGTAGAGTACTGCAGAATATTCTGTCTGTGATGGGATCATTACAGCTGTTGCTCAGGTCATGGCCTCCCTTGGTCTGTGCCAGGAGGCACTGGGAATTTAAATGGTCTTCCACAGAAATAAAGATATGGTGTGAAGTATATTTATGTATTAACTTGCTCATGAGGAACATTTCAGGTTTGATGTGGAGTTTAGGGTGCTGAGGTTTTTTTTACGGTTTCCATTTTCAAACCCCTGTTTCAGGTACTTTATGAAAACCTGAATTCTGCAAAGGATTCATAGGACTGTAAGCCATGCCCTTAGAATAAAGAAGGATGTTTTCACCCCTATAAATATCAGTTCCTTTCTTTGCAGTTCCTTCTCAGTTGTGACAGCAGTAAGTTATGTGGGCCATTCATATCATGTATTTTACCAGTATTTCCTTTAGTGCATTTTAAAGGAAGTGAGCCTGCTAAGTACCCAAATATCTCTGCTGTCTGCTAGCCCTGCGAGTACAATACGGGGGGTAGAAGGACCACACCACAGTGCTTTGTTTTGTTTATAGTTCTGGCAGAGACAGTGGCAGCCCCCATCACTTGGAAATAATGATGCTAATTCTCATACTGGGGCAAAACACCAACTGTTTACAGAGAACCATCATTTTCCTGGCTTAAGAGGTGGCTTGGGAGCACCAAGCAGACTTTCATCTCTGTTGTTCCTAAGACTGAGTTACTTTTGCACTATCCCAGATAAAAGCACCATAAAAATCAGTTTTGTTGTGAAAGAAGTTAAATTTGAGAGGAGGGAGTACTCTTGTACATTGGTGCCAGTGGCTGGGGGTGTAGAGCTTTACCTGAATTGATGCTACTTGTGTTTCCAAAGTGCCCAGCCATAAACTCTCCAAGATTTCACTGTAGTTCAATATTTTCCTTTCTCAAACCACTTCCTGTGCATAAAAGGATTTCTTTTTAATCAGAGGCCAGTGCTGGTTGCAGGGGTCTTTACTTTGTGACCTTCAATTCTATTTCTAGGAGGAGACAGTGGGTTTCAGTACCTTCTTTCTGTGGCTGTTTCTGGGCCAGCCCTTCCCAGAACAGATGCCACTGATTCAGGAGGTCTTGCTGCCTCCCCTTTATTTAAGTGCTGGTTACACAGCTCCGCCAGGATCCATTGCCGTTGTAAACCACGTTCAAGGAATAAGGAATTTAGGGTCTGTAGTCATTGTAGACCAGCCCTGGAGACCTCATGCAATTGTTTTTCATCCCTCTTACACCCACAGTTCTGCTAGATTTAGAGTTACTAGATTAGAATGTTAGAGATCACAATCCAGACACTTTCCAACTTGAATTTTAGTTGGGAAAGACACACAAAACAAAGAAATTTGTGTTGTAAATTAGATTTCTCAGATTTCAGTGATTTGTCACGGTAATGTGGCTCGATCTATGCAGTCATAGAAAAAATTCACAAGTGCAAACTCTTCCAATGCTATTAACTTCCCCAGTGTGGCAGGGTGCAGTGATTGTAGGAGGTAAGGTTAATTTTAAATAATCTGTGGTAGAAAAAAGACATGGCACCCCACATGGGGAAGCATTAAACCTACAAAATGAGGATTAAGCTAGAAAGCATTAAGCAGCCCTAGAGATCTATTTGGGAAGACTGGATTCATGGCTCAATTGTTTTGTGCCCCTTTGTGCCCCTGTACAAGTCCAATGGGGTACGTACTGCCTCTTGGTGCAGCTCAGGTCAGTGGGACAGCACTCAAACACTTTCCTGTGTGTGCTGTGCTTGCCCACAAGCCAAACCAAAAAGTGTAATTCAGAACTCACTCAATGGGGGTGATCTAAATATAATAGGTATAAAACCAGTAAATGATGGTTTCCTAGGTTTGCCCGCCTATGTCGGAGCCAGCAGGGTGCATTTTCAGCCAGTTCCCTGCAACAGTCAGAAGTCACCTAGGAGCAGAGAAGGTGAGAAGTTCCCATGTTTCCAGGACTTCTGGTGCCCAGGCTTTGAGAAAACGGCTAAATGTTCTAATACTTGGAGAAAGGAAGATCTGGCAACACTGTTAGCCCTGTTTGCCACACAAACCAGAATGTCTCATTTCTCTTTTCCTAGTACAACTTTTCCTAGAAAAACTGGCTGCTCATGGCTTAGATGGGTGGTCTCTTCAATGGGTAAAAAATTGGCTGCATGGCTGTAAGAGCTTGACAGAGAGATGGAGACTTCAGACGGCTCTTAAAAATGTCGTTTATTGCATAGACGAGGTTACAGCAGTTGTGGGTTGTGGGTGAGCCTAGAGCTACTGGCCATAGGCAAGCCGTGTGTCCTGAAGTCCTATCCTAATTCTGGTTACAATACATTATATACTTTTTATTACAGAGCATTTTAATACATGGCTACTCATCAGCATCATACACAATACCATTTACATTTACATACAACCTATTCAAACCGCTAAAATTATCATATTATGTGTAGTGACTAGCCAATTATCGGAGTTAATAGTTACAAGTTAAATTTTGGGACTTGTTGTGCTGTGGAAATTTTTGAGATTTTTTTCTCTACTTGCAACATTGGCTTTCTTGTTTGCCTGTGAAAATCCTTTTGTTTGGTAAAAACATCTTTTGTTTGAGGTGGGTTTATCCTTTGCTCTAAGCCATAAAAGTTCTTTCCAACTCAGCTTGCTCTTTGCCTTCTAGTTACCCAGTAAGACTGGCTCAGCAATTCTTCTATATCAAAACTCGCTAGCCTTTCTATTCCTTCTTCATATTCTACATTCGAAGATCTTTCTGTTACACATACATATCTGTAGGATCTTCCTGTCAAATCCTTATCCTTCCCAACACATGGCCAGGCCTAGAGAGTTGTGGTGAATGGAGCTAAATCCATTTGGCAGCTGGTTGCTAGGGGTACTCCCCAGGGCTCCGTTTTGGGGCTGGTCCTGTTTAACATATTTATTGATGGCTTGGACATTGGGATTGATGGTACCCTCAGTAAATTTGCAGACAACACTAAGTTGTGTGGGAGTGTTGATCTGCTTGAGGGTAGGAAGGCTCAGCAGAGGGCTCTGGACAGACTCAACCAGTGCACTGAGGACAACTGCATGAGATTGAATAAGGCAAAATGCTGGGTCCTGCACAACCCCAACAACCCTAAGCAGCACTATAGGCTTGGAGAGAGTGGCTGGAAAAGTGCCCAGCAACTGCCCAGCAGAAAAGGACCTGAGAGTGCTGATCAGCAGTGGCTGAACATAATCCACTGTGTATCCAAGTGGCCAAGAAGGCCAGTGGCATCCTGGCCTGTATCAAGAATAGTGTAGCCAGCAGGACCAGGGCAGTGATCTTCCCTCTGTGCTCAGTACTGGTGAGGCCACATCTTGAGTGTTGCACTCAGTTTTGAGCCTCTCACTTTAAAAAGGACATTGAGGTGCTGTCCAGGTAGAGGGAGACTGATCTTTTCTACCATGCCTACAGTGAAAGAACCAGAGGAAATGGCCTTACATTGGGGCAGGGGAGATTCAGATTAAGTATTAGAAAAAAAAATTTTCACTGTTAGGGTGGTCAGACATTGGAATAGATTGCCCAGGGAGGTAGTAAAATCGCCATCCCTGAAGGTGTTTAAGAGGCATCTGGATCTGTGCTGGGTGACATGGTTTAGTGGTTTAAGGGTTACCATGGTACTGCTGTGTGGATGTTTGGATGTTTTGTGATCTTAAAGATCTCTTCCAACTTTGCTGATTGTATGATCAGTGGATGTTTGAGATGCATGGGTGCAGAGCCATGAGCAGGGAGTTCTTGAGCACTTCAAAGAGCCTCTTTCTCAGTGATGCTGCCTTTGGCCATGTTTCATGCCTCATGTTTTAGGCTGCTACTATACGCAAGTTCTTGATGAATCAAAAGCTGTACAGGAAATGGCAGCACCAAAGGGACCTGCTCAGTATGCCAGGGAGATGCAGATACTCTGAGACAGAGGACCCAGGGACTCTATTGCCTTGCCTTGCCTTGCCTTGCCTTGCCTTGCCTTGCCTTGCCTTGCCTTGCCTTGCCTTGCCATGGCTAACCTATCTCTCCCGCAGTCAGCTGCAGAAACCACATCTCTCCCCACTTCTGTTTCCTTGCTGGGCATTTCTTTAGCAGTCATGAGAGATTTGCTCAGTGGGGCTTACAGAAGGCAGCTGATAATTTTTATTTCTTTATTTCAGATTTCAATCCGTGCATGAAGAGCATGCCACACTTGGCAGCAGCTGTATGAGACTTGCTGATCTAGGTAGTCCCTCCCCTTCTTTTTGCAGGTCATGAAAGTCATGCTAGGGGCAACTTCATTCACCAGGGCT